TTAGGATTGAGGGTTTAGGATTTGGCGTTTAGGGTTTAGGATTTAGGGTTTAGGATTTAGGGTTTAGGGCTTAGGGCAGTTCCCACCACCTAGACCGTAAACCCTGAACCCATTACTACTGCCAGTACTATGACTGCTACTGCTGCTCCTCGTCCTCCTGCTGCTGCTGCTGCTTCTACTGCTGCTGCTGGCGTTTTGCGTGGATTTCACACTTCCTGGGTTGCTACTGAAGGACTAAAACTGGGGTACTGCTGTGGGAAAACCTGTTCATATTCTGGCAACTTAATCTAAACTTCGTAGCAGCAATCCAAATCATGGCCACAATCATCAAAAACGGGCCTTATAATTTCTGCATATGAACCCTACACCCTAAAACCCTAAACCCTTATCCCTAAAACCTACACATTGCTTCTGGAGATCACGAATTTTGCACATCCCCCATCTCAATTCCTTGCAGCCACGGGCAGGGTTTAGGGTTTAAGGTGTGTTGCGCCACATAAAAGTAGAACCACCTTTGCTTGCATGGCTGCTGTTAAGGCTGGAGGGGTCCAGAACCTTCAACTTACTGTGGTGGCTGAAGTCTTGCATCACTTTACGCTGTTGTTACGATGTTAAGTGCTATGGTAGGGAAATCAAGTTACGCTCCCTGGTTGGGCAACCATCCCTAATACTCAAAATGTCCAAGAATTGACCCCAACCCCTAAATCCTAAAACCCTAAACCCTAAACCTAAAACCTTAAAACTCCAACCCCTAAATCCCAAAACCCTAAATCCTAATAATTCTTCCCTGAGAGCCCTACTGACCATCATTTTAACAGCCCCCCACATGAGAGCATCTGAGCCCTGGGATGCCTCTCAGGAGCCTCTCCCGGCGAATATCTTGGGGTTACTACAGGCCCCCGAGTACAGGGGCCCACCCCCTTAAATCTCGATGGTTCTTCCCCACAATCTAGGGCCCTGATACATCAGTAGCTGGCTGCAATGAGTAAAGAAGGCATGTCTGAAACGGTTCTTCCTTCCAACCGTGAGAAGGAAGATGGATCCCCCCAAAAGCATCAACCCTTATACGGGAAAACGCCTAAAGGTTTAAGGCTAAGCTGAAACCCTCCAACCCTTAAACCCCTGCAACTCCTATAAACCCTAAACCCTAAAACCTTCCTAAGCCCTAAACCCCTCCCCCTAAAATGCCTCTTAGCATGGCTAAGGCCGCGGCTTCTTGACTGACAGGCTCTTGTTTGCCTGGTCCCGGTTCCGGGCGTAGGGTCTGGAACTTCTGTTGAGTGTGTTCTGGGCTGAGGGTTCAACAGTTAGCCTACACCCTAAACCCTAAACGCATTTAGGATTTAGAAGTTAGGGCCCAGGTGGCAGCAGGGCTTCGGGTTTAGGGTGTTGCGCTGAATTGGCGCCAGTAGTGCCCAACGTTGGGATCTTCTTGTTCGGGAAAGCTTCTATTGCGAGACACAGAGATCCCGTGATGCTGTGCAAACAATGAAGGAGGGTGTTGGGTTTAGGGCTTAGGGTGCTAAATCATTGATGTGAGCAGCGCTTAAAACTGTCGTCCCGTAGACCCAGCAGATGCGGCTCTACCCCTGACTGTCTTGCACAGTTTTGCGGGTGTCACAAGACTTGGTTGGGATTTGCTGGGCGAGCTTCTCAATCTCTGCCATCACAAGCTAGGCGAGTGTTTTTGGCCAACCCCTCTCATGTTTTCTCACTGCAAGCACACAAGTCATGGTGCGGTAAAGAGGTTGAAAATGCCCCAAACCTAGCCTAAACCCTAATACCACAAACCCTAAACCGTAAACCCAAACCCTACTGCCTGAATTCAGAAAACTTGAAGTCATGTTCAGGTTGACCCAGGAACTCGGTGCAGCCCACAGCAGCCAGAAAGGCTGCTGAGAGAGGCACTCAGAGAGCTGCCCCTAAACCACAGTTTAAGGTTCAGGGTTTCGGGGTTAAGGTGGTCCATGGGTACTTGGCCATACATACTCAAACTAAAAAGAAAATGGAACATTACATTGAAACTGGGTCTGTATAGCCGCTGACAAGCATTCATTCCAGCAGAGACGCAAGCCCTTCATCCCTACATTTCCTTGTCTCCCCAGATTCCATTTCATCTCCCGAAGCTTTTAAAATTGATTCTCCGTTTTGAGGGTAACCGCTCAAAACCCTGAACCATAAACCCCTAACCCTGAACCCTAAATCCTCAAGTCACAGGGTCCAGGTTGATGGGAAAGGAAAATTGCGGCCACCGGCAAATACGCAGATCTTGCTGCAGTGTTAGGCCATCATGGAGGCATACTCAGCTTCCCTGTGACGGGTTAACCCCACGCCTGGCCCTTTGGCACAGCCTTTGTTATATTGGGGTTATCAAAGTAGGGATAATGGAAAAGAAGATGCAAATTACTATAATGGGTTTAGGGTATAGTCCCCCTTAAGTAGATCGAATATGGTGTTGGGTAAATTCTAGCGAAGAAAGGAAAATGCCAGGCTTGCCACAGCCTTTGCAAGGGACGGCGCGCGGCCGATCTTAGAAAAGGCGGTAGGGGGGCTGCGCGCGCGCTCCCTGCAATTTGCGAAGTGCCGCTCGAGCCGAGCCCTCCCGTGGGGGCAGGTCCATGCCAAGCTTTGGCGGACGAATCCACGCCTAGGCGAACGCCCCATCCATATGTTGGACTCCTCAGCTTGTATAGGGAAACCACCCTAAGCCCTAAACCCCTAAACCTCTAAGCCCTAAACCTCTAATCCCTAAACCTCTAAACCCTAAACCCCTAAACCCTAAACCCCTAATCCCTAATCCCTAAACCTCTAAGCCCTAAACCCTAAACCTGCAGTGTACTTAGGGACCGGGACCTCCAAGTCTTGCCTAGCAAAGGATCCCAGAGTGATGACTCTACCAATTAAGGATTTGGGTTCAGGGTCTATCTACCTGCTACATTGCAATATCCCCGGTTAAGGATTTAGGTTCAGGGTCTATCTACCTGCTACATTGCAATATTCCCAAAACATGACATGAAGCCATTTTTGCCCGTAATATTCGAAATAAAAGACACCTTGCGAGCTAGTGTCTAAACTCCTAGTATCCCCCTTGATAGGCCGTATGAGCTTTAGTCCAAACTCCTTAAAGGAGGTTTTAGACCCTAAACCCCTAAACCCTCAAGAATAATCCTAAATCCTAAACCCTATATAGCCCCGTTGGAGGGGGTTAGACCCTAAAGCCCTAAACCCTAAATCCTAAACCCCATATAACCCCCTTTAAGGAGCTTAGACCCTAAATCCGAAAACCTCAAAACCTAAACCCTAAACCATGCATAGCCCGCTTTAAGGAGTTTAGACTACAGCTCATGCGGGGTGAGGCCCGGAGAACTTCCCGCAACTTGCCCAGTGTAATTCAACAAGCTGGACAGACAGACGATTAGGGTTTAGGGCTTAAGCAATCGCACCCTAATCTCAAAATCCCACACCCCAAGATGAAAACTTCCCACTTGACTATAACATGCCGCCATGGGAATATGGATGCCATTATAATGTCAGGATACCACAGGCGGTAGGACACTACCTGGTTAATCACCAGCGCTTTTCCTCAGAGTTAAGCTAACCCTTGAAAGAACAACTAAATCGGGAATCTGTAGGGAAGGCAGATTAAGCAATAGAGCTATTAACTTGGATTTCGAGTGTCACATGGATTCTGGATTTTGGGTAGTCTCTTGGTATTCCCCTATACCCATGGATATTCTCAAATCCAACGGGTACTTCTAACCCTGCATAGCATGGCACCAATGCTTCGCAACGAGCCCAAGATCCTAGGCTCAAATCTTCTGAGTCCCCGAAAAATAGGTGCAGGGCTTATAAGATTTTAAAGCTTACGGCTAAGGCCAACATCAAATTCCTACCACAGCCAACATTCCATAAACGGGCAGGGGGCAATGAAGGTGTCTTCAGTGCTGCCAGAATCGAGGACCAAGAAGTTCACAAATTGATCCTGGCATGACCGCGCACTAAGCTACTTGGCAATCCCAAGGCCGAAGATTACGGGTTCTTGTGAATGGTGAAGTGGATCCTGTTTTAGTCCTTGTCAAAGTCTCAGCAGATGAACCTCTACAATGGTCTGGCTGAGACCCTGACCCTTGGCTGCAGGTATAAAATGGGCTCTCGGTATAAAGTTGGTGGCATACCCGATGAGTCCAAAGTACCAACATAATACAAGGTATGGCTTCTGTAGTAGGAACTTCCCGTACTGTTTGAATGACATTCGTAGCCCTACACACTGGTACGTAGGACCCTGTGGGCTAGTGCTGTGACATCTTGGCGAGGTAACGTGCAGCGCGCTCTGCATGGAGAACCTCAAGTCCAAAAACAACTTGTTCAAATTGAGTTCGCCCCCCCGCAGTAATAGTGGTATGAGAGGACATATAGGGCACCTCAAATCATGGGCATGGATTATTCCTTATGGTCATGTCCAGTGGGCGTGGGCATAGGCTAGCATGTAACCATGACATCTGAAATGCCCCTATAGCATCCTTGTATCACCACGGCATTGCTCAATCCACCGCTTTGTGTGACACCACAAGCTCCACAAAAAAACGAGAGGAACGGGGAATGGTAACGCAAAGCTGGCCGTTCATTATAGAAGTACAGCACGCAATATGGCACAAGCTAAGATGCGGTCAAGAAAACCTAAGGCACTCCAAGAAACAGGCTCCGAAACTGCCAGGAAAACTGGAACCGAAGCCCGAAACCCTGACTCTAAACCTTAAACGTAGGAAGAAGTTCTGGGCTGAGAAACCTGTGGCCTTCGAGGCTACGTTTGAACCCTGGGCTTACGTGAGTAGCCCGATGGTACGTCTTAACATGCGTCCAGAACCTTAAGAGCCCTAAACGCCTGAACCCAAGACCCCTAGATCCCTAAACCTTGAACCCCTCAACCTCTAGACTCTAAACGCCAACCCATGTCAGACCATAGAACCCTTCAAAGCATGACGCAGTCAGGCTCCAACACCGTAGTCCACACAAACACTGTGAAAACCGCACTTGTCACCCTCCAATGTGGCTTAAAGAAAACTAAGGACAGCCAGAAGCTTGAATCTTAAATGGCTTTGACTGAATCATCTACATTCACTTCTGTATTTGCGCGCACTTTAAAAACGTATCTCTGCGTTTGTACGCCGACGCCTACAGATACCTCTCAACACCAAGGCCAAGGCCTCTGACCTACGCGGTTCTGGGCTTAGGGTTAAAGTTTTAGGGTTTGAGGTTTAGGGTTTAGGGTCTAGGGTCTAGGGGTTTACTGACACGCAACTTTCTGTTGCTTAAGGGCGTTGTTCAAGGTCTAGGGCTTAGGGTAATGGGGTGTTCTGATTAAAGCCCCCCCCCCCCCAACAAGTAGAGGGGTCAGAATAATCGGGGGGGGTCCCAAACAAGTTCAGGAAAAGTTGTTTGGGGGGTCCGGGCCAATCCCTGGTCACCAAATGCCTCTCTTGCGACGCTGAGCATCTCTTCAACAATCTCTTCAAGAAAGAGGCTTATAAGGAGGGCAAAGTGCCCTCTCTCTCAGGAGCTTCGGGAAATTAGGCTCTAAGCACGCTTCTTGTACCAGCTTACTACTAATTAATTATCTAATTAGGGGTTGGGTTGCTGAGACTGGCTGGCTCTCTCTGTTCTCTCTCTGGCTTTCTTCTTTTTGTCTTTTTGTTGTTTCTTCTACCTGGGCGTTTCCAGAAGCCAGCACGCGCTATTCCGTTCCTATGTTGTTATTAATCCGTTCAGCTCGGATTTAGCTCTAATACGATCCCCTTTTTATTATTCCGTTCGGGCTGATTTAGCTCCAATACGACCCCCTTTTGTAATCTGAAGTTGACATTACAGCCTTGTCCCATAAGGCTGTTGGGGGGCTCTTGCTTTCGTGCTTGCAAAGTGAGGTACTAGCCGTCGAGATGCAGGGGACGAAAGATAACGGGAGTTCATGAGAGCATGGGACGAAGCAAAGGGGACAGAGAGAGGGAGTGTCAGCGAGCTGCAGCGAGCTGAAGGCAGCAAGAAACAGGGCCAAAGTGTTTGAGCCGGAAGGAGGGACACGAGGCGGCTACAAGACATGGCACGTGCACCTCCTTTGACAGATCCAAAAGTTTTCCATTATCTTTGCCACTATCCAGAAATGGCAGCAAGAAGCAGTTGATGTCTCACATGGTGCCATTTCATCAGCAAGACCTCTGCTTCCATTTAATGACAGTTTTGATGGCCGGCTTCAAGCTCAGCAAAGTTTCCATTTTTTCGCAGACAACCATGTTGTTCTACAGTGCCAAGCTGGCTGCCGACACTCACTTACCTAATGCTCCCACCAAATTGGGTTCCTGAGCCTGCTACCTTTGCATTCTCAAAACGTGCGCTGAACAAGGAGCAACTGCGACCAATCATGCTGCACTTGCATGTGTCTTGCATGCAAACTGGCCCAATGCCGGCCGAATGCAGCTGACTTTCACATATGATCTAGGAAGAAATCCGTATTCAAGTGGACAGCTGACCTGTCGAGGACTCCTGACCCCAATTTAATTCTGACAGGAGATTGCGCCAGAGCGGAAACATCTGCGGAAACCGCATCGGAGGCTGAGGGCCGGACGGCAACCCCCAGAAGCACACGGTTGGAATGCCCTTGCGATTCAGCCTGCGGCAATTCTGGGTGAGGCTGAATCGTGAAAGCATTCCTGCGCAGTAATTTTCACAAAGTTTTGCTGTCCAGAGCCGGAGTTTGTCGAAGCCACCCAACGTTGAGTACCTGGCAAAGCGCCTTTTCCAACACTGCCCATCCACAGGGCGGGGAGCACGTCTGACTCTCGCCAAAAGTGTACCTAACGTGCAGATGAAGGACATAAGGACAGAACATGAGCAAAAACACTCAAGCTGGGCTCGGCTGGGGCTCGGTCACTGGATGTAATCTGTAACCGTAGCGCAAGCAGTACCTTCAAGCTCTCGTCTGGGTAGTGCGACTGTGCATCTGGTGCCCGTGTCATGTCCGTTTCAACCCCGTCCATGGCGCACTTCACGAAACCTGCGCAGGACTGCTCAGACTTTTCTACAATGGGCATAATTGCGGCATAATGGACCCAACCGGTACAATCCTAGGCATTTCTATGCCAACCAAGCCATTCCTAGACTTCGCCCCTGCGACGTGTTTGAGTCTTGCAACTTGTGGATGCTTGATTTAGAAGCCAGCACTGCCGTCAAGGATCGCACAAGGGAACATTTCACTAGGAGTTGCAGGCAGTCTCGTCTAGGCCTCTGCGCTGTGCCAGTGCCACTCTCTCAAGGCCGTGGGAAAAGCGAGTCGCCTCAAACTTGCTGCAGAAGTCATGCCAAGGATTCCGGCTCTTTCGCTCTCTGGCCTCTTGATAGGCACCGGGAATCATGGATATTGACTCGCCCTGGCAATCAGCAAGACATTGGAAATCTTGCTACAAGTACAGAATCAGGACAAGCCAAGCATCTCAAGAGTCAAGACCACAAGCTTGCCATGATCCTTGCCTTTCTCATGAGGTCGTGCATTGTGGTTGCGCGTGTGTCGCGGATTGATCCGTGCCTGGCAACCGTCTCTATCTAGATTCTACAAGTATGGCTCACGCTGCACAACGCCAAGCTCTCACAGCAAAGTTCGTGCCGGCGTCACGGTCCCTCAAAGGCATCCAAAAACAACTTGGCTAGCAAGCCCTTGTTCCTGTGCAGACAAAGCGCATCCTCCAAACGTTTCAAAGCCAAAGACACTGTCCGCAAAGTGGGATCGATGAGATAATTGCAGCGACCCACGACCTTGCGAATAAAATCAGACTTTCGCGCAACGTACGCAGCATGCTGCGTATTCCCACCTTGTGGAAGTTGCGACCAAAAACAACCTCAGTCGAACAAGCATGCGGCAAAGGGCAGTGCCAGGCCAACTGCGCGCAGTGCTGCTGGATGCTGCTGGGCGGCGTTGCAGATCCAGCCAATAGAAAGAATTCCTGTCACGATATGCGAACTGAACGTTTCAGTATCAGTCTAAAGGTAGATGTACTGGCAGGGTGCTTGGGTAAAAATCTCTGGCCATCCTTTTGAGAAGACGTAGACAGCCTGTATGAGCCTTCCAGCCATTGCATTCTTTGCAATCCGAGCTCCGCACCGTGTGGGTGGCAGGCGAAGAAGCTTTTGCCTTCCTGGACTGTATCCAAAGCGCCCCGAAGCTCACAACCTTATGCTTTTGAAGAATCAACTCCGTGTTCTGCGCCGGCTGGGCTTTTTGAGGAAGCGGCGCTTGTTATAGCCTGCGTAGCCCTTGTACTGGAACGCCAGGAGCTGGGCACGGGCCGATCGCATCTGCCCTATCTGACTGTGAGCTTCAACCAGCATCCTGTTTATCTTTCTACTTGTTGGCTCGCTTTGCTGACCTTCGGGTTGGGTGCGCAAACGCGCTCACAGGCATTCAGCAGCGTCATGCCGGAAGCCACCTGAGAGGCAAAACGTCGAAGCGATGACTCCACGGCTGCCCTTTTTCAACCCTAACTTCGGCTCACGCTGCTGCAAAGAGAAAGGCCAGCCCCGTGCGAGCCAACGTTGCAGAGGAAAATGAAACCTGCAGCCAAATACCATTGTGTCTTGCTTGCATTCTGTCCAGTCTTGCTCTTCATACCTCCCTTCTTCTTCTTCTCCCTCTACTTATCTTGGGCAGGCCAGGAAAACTGTCAGCGCCGCTAGGCGCTGATCCACCTGCCAGACAACTGCACAAAGCAAACTTGCTTGCGGCACTCCATCCCTAAAGTTTGCTAGTAGCTGCTTGGCTAGGTCCTAGCCGCTAGCCGCTAGGTCCTGCCTGAACAAGGATGGCGAACATCGAAACAGCCGTAAGAAGCGACTTGCACCATCCCATCTGTGCAAACATCCAAATCCAGGCATGAAATATGTTCATGGTGTGAAGCTTGGGATCCCCGCATGGGGCTGCATCGACCCTCCAAGGGCCAACATTAGCAACGGGATGGAGCTGACCCACGCAATGCCTGATAGAACAAGGAAAAGTCATGGCGTCATGGGGTGCAAAGCAAGGACGCGGCCTGAGGCCAAATGGAGTAAGCAACACCTCATAGCCATCATAGCCAGGAGTCTGTCGAGAGGATTAGAGTCTGTGGGCACACGCGCCTCCACCAAGGTACGCCCTGCGCGCAAGGCAGCATGAACGGGTCATGACGGTTCTCAACGCTGGCAAATAACAGTGAAATTTCGTGGTTACACGAAAGTGATACGTTTTTGCCTCCACCGTCATCTCATCAGCTGCCATGGCAACAGGGGGCCGGGTGGAAAATGATAAGGTTGGGGGATGAATTTGGGATAGCTTGACTGGATCTAGCGCAAAATTTGGCAGCAGTCAGGTGGGCCAGGCATGGCATGAGGGGTCACGGGGTCACAACAAACTTCTGGCAACGCTTCTGAACATACTGTGCGGCGACTGCAGCAAGAGCGGCTGGATCTGTCTAAGCAATCGGCACGAATTGCCAACCCTCATTCAGCTCGGAGAGATATCGGCATCGACAAGCGCATCATGGTGTTCTCTTGGGTACTGAATGATTGCATGCCCTGTTGAACATTCTTGGTTGGATGCATGTGCCACTGTTCGGACATCAAAGGCATGGGTGCCCTTTGCAATGACGACAGAACACATGCGTGACCTGGCACGAGGCACCAGCAGGGCATTGTGGCTATTCGAGGGCATTCGCCTGCTTAATACTTCACAGAAGCCAGCTACAAAAAATGCATACGGAGGCCACCTGTGGAAGGGATTGTGTGAAAGCATAAAAGTCGACATTTGCTCCGAGTGGTCTGCCTCCAGGCCATACCAGCTGCAGACTCACGAGGTCAAAAATACTCGTTTTTATGCGTAGCGCTGTCTGGAAAGCCATTTCCTGGCGACCCTACAGAACTTGCGTTGCAAAGAGTTCAAGTCATTGTTGAACTTAATGAGTTCCGAGCGAGCTCAGAAACGAAAGCAAAGCATTTATGATTCTACGTGAAACAGACGTCCAAGCCTTGCCCATGTGATCCATGTGCGCAGCGCAGGATGCGCAATCTGCGTCTCACCGGGCAATCAGTTCGGTGTCTTGTCTGGTTCAGATGCGGAATCTTGGACTTCAAACTCCTCCGGCTTGAAGCAAGTCCTGCATCAAGCACAAGGGGCGATGGCCGCAAATCAGGAAGTTCTCTGGAACATGGCTAGCCGCGGGTAGCTGGATAAACTTCATGTTCTCACAGTGTCCGGCACAAGTAGTCGCAAAACAGCAGCTCAAACTCTTCATACGTCAGAACGCTGTCGCTGTCAGTGTCATACCTGTCCAGGCATATGTCTGTGAAGGCCTCAGGCCGCTTGCTTGTTTGAATTGGATATGCTGGGCACTTCCGGGCAAGTTCAAGCAGCTCCTCCAACGCCGAATGCAGTTCTAACCAAGCACAGACGCATGAAGACGAGCTCATGTATGCGCAAACCAAACACTTAGCTTGCGAATTGCTTCGCGCAAGTGACGACTCATAGCCTTTAAAGGCCAGATTGCTACCCGCTCTCACTGCATGCTTAGAACCCGAGATCTTGCTAACAGCTGTGCGACTCAAGCTGTCAGGAAGGTGTCCACGCACAGTTGGTCCGAGAGGGCAACCTTGCTGCTCCACAACAGCTGCTTTGTGCAGACTCCATTGTGCAAAAACTGGCTTGCCGTCCGTCTCATGTGGAACCACGCGCCTTGGAAAAAAAAAACTCTAGCCAGAAACCGATGCCGGAAAAATGAGCACCTAAGCGCAGCTTGTTACATTGTTTGCCCCTGCCCTGAAACGCGCTAACCTTCCCAGTCTTGAAGTCTTGGGAAGTTTGTAGTTACCACGGAAGCTGCTCGGCACAACACATACGCGCATGGTGAGTCCTGGTACGTCGGAGGCTTCTCGTCCATAACCTGCAGGGAAAACAAGCAAACCAGCTTTGGTCAGTTATACGGATCCTCGCTCCTTGTTTATTGCAGATTGCAGTGGCAAGGGCATTCCTGGTCGCACCAGAGTGTTGATTCGTACGCGCAAGCTACGAAGATGATGCAAAGAAGACGCCTTGCCACGTGCACGTTCTGAAGTTTGCACTTGTCGCGCACTAACTAGTATAGTGTATGAAGCGCGGCACAGCAAGACAGTGTCACATGCCTGGAGCGGCCCTATACATGCCCATGTCTTGTGTGGAGTGTGCGAGAGGTCAGTACGACTGTTGAGGCCTTCCCGTGCTGATCGACATGACTTGCTCGGAGCCGAGAAGTAACTGGTTTGCAAGCACTGCCTTCCCGAGGTCACTATAGAACATGGACAGCTCTGGGATGCTGATGTATCCGTCCTGGCGTTCCAACGGCTTGCATTAACACAGGTCCACACCAAGCCCAAACAAAAGCCAGAAGGCAGGGAGACAGTGGAAAACCACAAAAAACAATCAACCCAAACGAAAAGCAACCAGAAATGAATTCTTGGATGAGGGGCCTTTGAAAGGGCAATCCAAGCTTCCAGGATTTGAAGTGGGTCGCAGAAATCTTCCTGGTGCCCTTCTGAGTTGGTGCTTTTTGTATCTTGTTTTTTGGTGTGTATGTTTTTGGGTTGGGGGCGTGGAATCGAAGGATGCTGCACGAGAGCGCGATTCTGAAGCAAAACGGGTGTCGGATGATGAAAAATGATGATAAATAATGAAACAGGAGGAAAATGAATGCAAAGTGATGTCAATGCGAAAGATGTTGAAAATTCGTGAAGTATGATGAAACTTGTTAAAAGAGCTGTAGAATTATGAAAAATGATGGGGCATGATGAAATGATTGAGAAGATGAAAGTTGATGGATATGGTTCTAATATGACGAGACATGAGAAAATGTGAAGAAGAATCATGCAAATTTTGAAAATTATTGAAACATGATGAAAATGATTGAAAGTTATGGCAATTGGTGAAAACGGATGAAGATGATAACCAGTCATGGAAATAGCCGAAACATGACCAAAAAATGATGAAATATTATGCAGTGATCTAAGATGATGAACAAGGGCAAGCATAGATGGGCTTAAAATAGCGTGGGGGGCGGTTGGGGGGTGGGCAAGCCCCTCCCCAATTTGCGAACAAAAAGATTCGAACACAATGATTGACCATCCCCCACTGATGACATGCTGCTCCTTTATTACGGCAAGCTTGGATGACCTAATCCGTGCTCCAGATGAATAAGTATACCTAGATTTGAAGAAAATTCGCGGGGCCGAAAATGGGGTTCAAAGGCTGTTTTAAAAGCAGAGGCACCTTTTGGGCATTTTTGGGCCTTTAACACCTAAATTCAAAGAAAATTAGCCACAACCCCTTAAAAAATATGGGACCAACTACATTTTGTGTTCTAAAACTTAAGCTTACCTAACAGCCCAAATCAATCTGGGACCATGTACCCCCAATCAAGCGAACAAACTGTAGTTGTGGAGTTCTGGGAACGGATTATTAGGGACCTACCACTTTTACGCTTTAACTTATAGTTTACACTCTAACAGCCAAGCTCTACAGCCTATATCCTACCTTATATATTTGAATTTTTAAGCTCACTGGGTAGGGTTTCTATTCCTAGGCAAGCCTGCTTGAATGGCCTTCGATACTTATGGCATTCAGAAATTTGAATAGCAGAGACGGTTTTGAAATCTGATTTCCTTACTAATCCGTATTAAGAATTTCCCGGGGAAACATTGCTTCCTGAGCTACCCCTTACAGGTGCTCCTGCATGGAATAAAAACAAAACTCCTTAAGAATAATAACCATTTTCTCAGGGCAGGTGCCAGAAACAGGTTTGCTTGAAGTCTCCACAGCATGCAGAGCTTGGGGTTTAGGGTTTAGAGTATATACTAATGAATTTGAATTAGATTGAATTCGATTGTACTTTCAATAAGTAAGAATTTCAATTGATTTTCCTAGATTTATATAACTGTTCTTATATACTCAATAATTAGAATCCAATCAGATTTGAATGGATTTTGCTACTATTGCATTTTCTCGGGGCCCAATCAGATTTGAACGGATTTTAATTAGAGTTGGGTAGATTTGAATGTAACTTCAATAGGATTCCAGTTTATTTACTTGGATTTATATAGATTGTACTATAATTTCAATAAGATTTCAATTGGTTTTAGATTTCAATTATATCTATATAGCTTTCGACAGAAGAACCAAATGAATTCAATTGATTTACTTAGATTAATATAGATTTCAAAAGACTTCCAAGAAGGTTTCAATTGATTTTAATTACATGTATTCCCCACCCTCGCAGTGGGGTTGTTAGATTTTAAAGTAGATGTTGTCCTCGCCCGGCTGGAAGCTGACTTTAGTGACCAACCACCA